TAAAACATATAAATACATAACTTAAGCTAATAAAAAATAAATATAATACTCATTTACATTATAAAAATAATTTTATTATATTAAAAATATATACAAAATTTTGAAAAATATCCCGCAGCATAGCACGGGTAAATATTTAATTATATTCAAATAAAAAAAGGAAGTTATATAACTGAAATAACTTCAGTAGTAATACAATTTAAGTTATATAAAGCTTTAGATAAGAAATATACTGAAAAAAAAACACTCGATTTTGTCATAACGAAATTATTAAAAAATATTTATCTAAAATTTATCATTTATTTTTGCATGGAAATTCTCGCCGAAGAATCAAAAAAGGTAGATAAGATATTTGCCGAGAAAATTAGTAGGAAGCGGTACGCTTTTGTTTCGTTTATGATTTGCCAAGATGTTATAAAGATTGAAAAAGTAGACCATTACCCCTAATAAATGTTTGGATGAGCTGAAACAAAAATAATAATTTAATAAGTTATTTGATTAAATAAAATATATTTATTTAAAGTAAATCTATATAATTAAATACCTTAAATTCGATAGGTTGGAGGATTAATCCATAACCGCGGGTAATTTGTGGGCAATTCGGATGATACCGCTTTCACCGTGATACTATCCCTAAGAATCCGAAATCTCCCAATAATACAACTTGGTTTTGCAATCGTAACGATAGCCTGTCAGTAACGGACAATGCAGAGTTTTAGAATGTTTAAAACTGCTAAGCGCCAATTCAATTTCGTTAGGGACAAAAACACCTTGAAATATATGAAGAATTATTTATGCAATAATATTAATTAATGTTATTCATATAAAACATACTTAAAAATATTTACTTACACGAAAGTTTACTTCATGTAGCTTTCATGGATTACGATTGTCACCGCTACAGCCTTTGTTACGTAACATTTCCACTAAAATCTCATATTCAATAGTTGGAGGACCCTCAGACTTGTAATGAAGAATCATCTTATTGATGTGACGTTGACGTTCTATAAACCCCTTCACGCATTCCCACTCTATGATCACGCCTGATTTGCTTTGATACCGAGTAGCAATACCAGCCGAAATTATTTCAGGAGGAGATGATTTTTCGTTAGAAAACTTTAAAACACGATTGTTTAATCGAAGCATACCAAACCACTCAATGTGTAAGGCATGGGCCCAGCAGTTTACCAGTTGAAATTCAATATTATAATAACACAATGTTAGTCAAAAGAGAATCAAAGAGAATCATATCCAAGTAAAATAAAACCTAGATGCTTTCAATTTATTTATCTACTATTTTTCAATCTATTTAAATCGAGTCCATGTTCATATTTTTTAATTATCAAATGTTTTTTTTTTAAAATAATTATCAAATGTTCTTACTTCAAAAAGTTGGTATACATATTTTTTGAATAACCGCTTTGTGAATAATATTTGGTTTTGTGTCTATCAAGAATTAAAGGTTGTAACTGGTAATAACAAATTGGAATATAAACGTAAATGATAAATTTATATAAAATAAAAAATATAGAAAAGAATAAAATCCATTGTATAACATTTTTGAAATGGAATGAACTTTAAAAAAAAATTCCAAATGAACAGAATAAATGAACTGATTTTTCATTTTTTTTTCCTCATAAACAGATAACAATTTTGTGGAATTTTATAAAAACTTCAATTCTACATAATTTTATTCTTGTTACAGCCAAAGATTAGTAAAACTTGTAATGTAAGTTGTATTCTTGACGTTAATGCAAGTAAATCCAATTTTTGTTGTTTGCCTTACAAAAATAGCACAAATATGTAGTCAACGTGTTAGTTTTGGTTTGTTTCGTTCGATTCTTCAACCTTTTTAGTTTGGGAAAGTGGCAGCGCCATGATAAAAACCGAAAAAAGTTTAGTACATCTACAAATCGGTTTGTTCAATTTGGTTACAAAGCGATAAGATTCAAAATTCGGTTTAGTAATAAAAAAAAAAAAAAAATTGATGCATTTTGGTTAATTCGGATTTTAGGTTTCTGCCGGTTCTTTAACCTAAACCAAATTGAAACCGAATTGACTAAATTTTGGTTCGCTCAGTTCGGTTCTAATCGGTTCCGACCAAAGACAAAGTTAATTGTGCACACTTCTCGATAAGAAACAAAAACAATTAATAAAAAACAAAAACATTGCATAAAAAAAACCATACTTAGCATACAAATGAGAGCAACGTTTACACGAATCTCACAAATTAAATCATTTACATAAACACCAAACAACAAATCCTACGCCTCTCGGGGATTATAATTTCAGCAAAACCATTCCCTTTTGCATCGGTCTGGTTCTAACCCGAGAGAGATATTCGATCGATAGCAACAACCTAAACACAAAACCACTTTCAGTAATCACAAAAAAATTCTTCTACGACAAGCAAAAAAAAACTAATGATTCATACCAGCAACAATAGCTTCTTATCGCGGATGATGATTCCCGCTTGATCTAGGCCGTCCAAATCTCCTTCTTCTTCTTGGAACATGGTTCAAATCATCCCCATTATCGTTCTGTAAACGCAAATCTTGATCATCATCATTGTCATTATGTTCATCTTGTAGACCTAATAGATTCTCTCCCCAAAGATATCTCCTATCGGATGAAGAACGTCGATGATTCCTCCACGCCCTTGACCTGTGAGTTCTTGATCCACCACTATTGCCACTTCCACTTCCACTAGAGCCTACATTGTTCTCAAGAGACCCAATCATCTGAAACAACACTAAAGTAGTCCAAAGATCACTTCCTCCTCCTCCTCCTCCTCCTCCTCCTCCTCCTCCTCCTCCTCCTCCTCCTCCTCCTCCTCCTCCTCCTCCTCCTCCTCCTCCTCCTCCTCCTCCATTTCCAGCTTCTCTCTCACCGGAGAACCTATCTCCGTTTTCAATAACATAATCTCCTACCACAACAGCACCAGGCATCGCAGAACGTATCGCACTGACTATATCTCCGTACTCCCTCTGGTTCTCTAGGTGTCTCCAAGCTCTCTCTCTAGTCGGATCAGTGTCTGAAGGACGAGTACTCGGGTGTATCCTCCTGGCGTGTCGGCGCAGGTCCTGGTAGTTACCGGAAAACGAGCAAGACTCTCTTGAGCAGCTTCTGTTCTTCATGTCGAGATAACTTCTCACTTCTTCTACAACTTTCCATCCTAAAACATCACCACGACAAAGAGGACATTTCAGGTTTGTGATTCCCTCTGACTGTTGTTGTTGTTCTTCTTCTTCTTCCACTCTCCTCCTCCTACTAAGAGACTCAGAGTCTTGGCGAAAACTGCTTCGAGTAGTGGCTAAACCACGCTCGTTGTTTGCCTCGGGAGTAGGTTCAGAGTGGAGTTTCTTGAACCTGTCGAGACAGTTGGAATGTCTGTAACTGGTGTCGCAGATGTAAGATCTGCAGCCTTTGTAGTGAGAGCTGCACAGCAGTAGAACAGCATTATGTGGGTGATCCATGCAAACAGGACACGAAACCTCATCCAGTTCTTTGTGAAGAAGAGCATGGTGATGAGCATCTGACTCGGTACTTAGTTTTCGCTTTACACCAGCCATCTTGTAATATACACTGTGTAAGCCTACTCACGCATCATGTTAGAAACACTGAACAAGCTTAAAACAAATACTAAGGTTTAAGCTTTTGCTTTATCTCAATCTACACAATCTCATGATCACATCACCAAAAACAAGAAGAGATAGATATCTTAAAACTGACTCTCATTGTTCTTGAAACAAGCACATGGTCTTTAGCAAAACCACAAGAATCTTTACACATCAGTAAACGAGATAGTTAGAGGAAAACAACACTTACCCGAAAGAGAGCAATCTTATTAGCTTCTTACTATTCGAGAGTTGAACTTTAACTTGATTTGCTCAACGAAGTAAAGAGAATGATTCAGTGTAAATAAACTAAAACCACTATTCAGAGAAACCCAATATGTCGTGAAACCTGCATTAACATCACAAAAAAAAAACAGATAAAGTAGCGATCAAACTTCAAGAAACTTGACCATTGTTTTCATTAACACAAACGTACAGAATCCTATAACCATGACACCTTGAGACAAAATGTTATACAATACAAAACCCATTGATAAAACTAAAAAGTTTGGCTTAAATTAGAAAACTTTTCAACTTACAATCCCCAAAAAGTTGAAAACACACAAACTTGGCAAAGAATTAGCATAAAGCACCCAGATCCATGTTAGTTAAATCAATCATAAGCATCATCAATTTTCAGATTCTTTATTCAAACCCTAACCGGAATCAAATTTATTCAAATCTCCTCGTCAAAATTCACAAAAAAGTTTCAACGATAGTCGGCGGCAAACATAACAATACTCACAACCACATCAATCAAATTCAACACAAATACGTTAATCAAATCGATCCATCGGTTACTAGATTCCGATCAAAACGTACGATATAAAAAAAAAATCAAATAAAAATTGGGTAAAGGACGAGGAATTTACAAATTGGAATTTTTTAGCAGTTTTTCGTCTCCAATGATTCGATTTGATGATTTGGATGATTACTTTGATTCTCTCTCTCTCTCTATCTATCTCTCAATTTTAGAGATTAGATGATGAAGATGCTGAGATTTAGGAATTTGGGTTAGGCGAAACAAAGGAGAATCGACGATTTCACACACTCGTTATTATTATGGTTATCAGAATCATCGCACTTGCGTATTTATATTTACAATTTTATCACATTATTTAAATTTAAGAAAGCTGAAGAAATTATTGAAAAATAAAAATAATTACGAAACGACGCCGTAATAAAGTTGCGTCTGCTTCATCATCCTGTTTCATCATCGCTCACCAACAGAGAGAGAGAGGAGAGGAGAGAGAGAGGAGAGAGAGGAGAGAGAGAGAGAGAGAGGAGAGAGAGAGAGAGATGGAGATTGGGTTTCTGGGTTTGGGTATCATGGGAAAAGCCATGTCATTGAATCTGTTGAAACATGGATTCAAAGTAACAGTGTGGAACAGAACTCTCTCCAAGGTAAAAAAAACAAAAACAAAAAATCTCTCTTTTTTTTTTGAAGTATGGATTGTTTGATTTAGTGTTTGATTGTTCAGATCTCATTAATCCCTCATAAATTCGAGTTTTTTGATTAATTTATACGAAAATTATGGAAACACAGTGTGATGAACTAGTGGAGCATGGAGCTTCAGTATGTGAGAGTCCAGCTGAAGTAATCAAGAAATGCAAATACACAATCGCTATGCTCTCTGATCCTTCTGCTGCTCTTTCGGTATTTTGAATTCGCTTCTTCTGTATGTGTTTAAAGGGTTTGATTAATGATGATACGAACCAAAGTTACGATTTTTGTTGGTGGGTCTGATTTATATATATAGGTTGTTTTCGATAAAGATGGTGTTTTGGAGCAAATCTGTGAAGGAAAAGGTTACATAGATATGTCAACAGTTGATGCAGAGACTTCCTTAAAGATCAATGAGGTTTGAAACCTTTTGTACTTTTTAGTTCATGATGATTGATTAGAGAAAGAGAATATCGATTAGTGTTGATATAAGCTGTGTTGCATATTGGTGTAGGCAATCACCGGAAAAGGTGGTAGATTCGTCGAAGGTCCGGTTTCCGGTAGCAAAAAGCCGGCGGAAGATGGCCAACTCATCATTCTTGCTGCTGGTGACAAGGTAAAGTTGATTTCAAGAATAGTAAAATTGATTTCAAGAACAGTTCCACATTCAGATATATAAGGTGCATTGATCTCAAGAACCGTTGTATTTGGACTCAGTAAGAGATTATATAGTTCGTTTGTGTTCAAAGTTTAATCATTCTTCTCGCTAGGCGCTATTCGATGAATCGATCCCTGCTTTTGACGTCTTGGGGAAGAAGTCTTTCTTCTTGGGACAAGTTGGGAACGGAGCTAAGATGAAACTCATAGTGAACATGATCATGGGAAGGTTTGTATTAACATCTCTGTTCTCTTCTTAAACTCTATTTTAAACCATTTACAAGAAGGTAGTAACGGAGCTTTGTTTTTCTTCCATCTTTAACACAGCATGATGAACGCTTTCTCCGAGGGGCTTGTGTTGGCTGACAAGAGTGGGCTTAGCTCTGACACTCTTCTTGATGTTCTGGTGAGAGATGATAGTGAGAATGTGAAGTCTTAAGATGTTGTTTTGGTTTGAATATTTGGTTGCGTGTATTGAGTAGGATCTTGGTGCGATGACGAACCCGATGTTCAAAGGGAAAGGACCGTCGATGAACAAGAGTAGTTACCCACCAGCTTTCCCATTGAAGCATCAGCAGAAGGACATGAGGCTAGCTCTTGCTCTTGGTGATGAAAACGCTGTTTCTATGCCTGTAGCTGCTGCTGCTAATGAGGTTAGGTTTTACTATAAGAGACCAAGGATGTGTTTTGTTCTCTTCTTGATTTGGTATGAATCTTGAAGACATGTTTATGTTTCTTGACAGGCTTTTAAGAAGGCGAGAAGCTTGGGGCTTGGAGATCTTGACTTCTCTGCTGTGATCGAAGCTGTGAAATTCTCCAAGGAATAGTTAAAAATGTCGAAAGAAACTGAAATGATTGTTTTTTCTATTCTTCCCAAATTGAAGATTTACTACTCATTTGGCCAAATAATACATTTTAATCCTTCATCAGATGAGAAGTCTTTAAACACAATCTTTGTCGTTCACCTTTAGTTTCTTTAAACGCAAACGCTTGTTAGTTAAAAAGAGTGAAATAGGATCTTTAATATCCAAAAATTTCACAATAGATATGCAAACGCTGCAACCTGACGTTTCAGATAATGAAGCTTGTGTGCAGAAATGCTCATCTTTAACAAAACGACAACGTATAATAGCGTCTGATGCAGTTATCCGGACCGAAATACTAGCTGGGTCGCGGCTAAACCGGTCCGACTGACCGGATCGGCCCGGGTTTAAAAACATTGGTGCAGACCTGTTTTGATCTTCGCTCGAGTCGAGAGAGAGAGAGAGAGATGAATTATCTGCTTCCGACGCTAACGAAGAAGGAAGAGATCGATCGACTCATCAGAGACACAATCGATAAAGTGCTTGTGCTACGATTCGGCCGTTGCTCCGAAACAGATTGTCTTCAGCTTGATCGCATTGTAAATTGAGTTTTTGCTTTCTCTTCTGAATCAGTTTTGTTCTTCACCCAAAATCCCTCAAGTCTAATAACCCTAATTTCCGAATTTGTCAGCTTGATTCATCGGCGAGAGATGTCTCGAAATTCGCGACGGTAGCTTTGGTGGACATTGATTCAGAGGAAGTTCAAGTTTACGTGAAGTACTTCGACATCACTTTTCTCCCTTCGACTGTCTTCTTCTTCAACGCGCATCACATGAAACTTGATTCTGGGTAATTCCTTGATCCAAAGAACAGATTTAAACATATTAATCTTCGATTTTTAAGTTAAGTTATCGTTTTGGCGGATTTCTTTTTTTTTACAGAACTGCGGATCATACCAAGTGGGTCGGTAAATTCCACGAAAAGCAAGACTTCATTGATGTTGTTGAGGTAAAAAAAACAAATCAATTGCAGAAAGATTATATTTTTTTCAAAATTTGAGTTGAAGAACTCAAACATCCTCTGTTTTTATCTTTTGAAGGTAATTTTCAGAGGAGCCATGAAAGGGAAGATGATTGTTCATTGCCCAGTTCCACCAGAGAGAATACCAAAATACCAACTCTTATACAAGGATGTGTAATAGTATTAACTAAAAAAAGCTGTTCTTTAGTTGCAAAATCTGTTTCTCATCCGTTATATTTACATTGACATTTTCGAGATTTACATATAGTATGTTTTTGTACACACAGTAGAAAGAATGAGATAAATATATGCGGATTTTTCTTAATAGAGAAACCAGAAGTGGCAAACACATATCCATGGAAACTAACCCCGTTTCTTGATTCTCTCTGATGGTTTTGTATATATTTAAGTTCAGGTTTTGTTTTCTCTCTTCTTGCTTTTGGTAACGAGCTCCATCGACATGGATCGAAGTCGGCTTGTTATCTCGGTGAACGGAGGACGAGAATCAGGGTCTATAGACCAGCATTGCTCCATGAGCTTTCTCCAATCCGGTGAACAAGTTTTCGGTATTGGAGGTCGAAGCGTGTTCTTCACAATCCCGCCTTAAAAGACGAAAATCAGATCAGCAAAGAGTAGCTCTACTGTTTTGAGGTAAGTGTGAGAGTGAATAAGTTTTAAATGAACTTACCAATGATTGCTCCACAATGCATATCTGCATAAGGTTCTTCTCCGGTTAAAATCTCCCATAGCGAGATCCCATATGAAAACACATCGACCTGTTCACACACGAGTTACGTTAGGTTATGAATTGTGTGTTCTAATGGAAGATAGAGTAGATATTGGTTTAGGTTAGTTTTTTTTGCTTTTTTAAAAACCTGAAAATATGAGTTTGTGTGTATTCAAATGGAAGATAGAATAGGTTTAGGTTAGGTTTTACTTTCTCGGAAACTCTGGTGCTGCTTCCGTTTAAGAGCTCAGGGGCCATCCATGGAAGTGTTCCTCTCACTCCTCCGGATACTAAAGTGTTACGTTTGATTCTTGATAAGCCAAGATCTCCAACCTGAAGAAAACCAAAGGCTTTATAAGTAAGTTGATTCCTGGAGTGAAACAATGTGGAATGAGATTGTCGATACCTTGCATATAGGTCGTTGTGGATCTCTTAAGTTGACGAGTAAGTTCTCGCATTTGAGATCAAAGTGGACAATGTTCTTTGAGTGTAGATACTCCATACCAAAAGCAGCATCCATTGCGATTATTATCTTCTTCCGATCGTCAAGCAATCTGCGTTTAGCGTTTCCGGCGAGAATTTTTAGTCTATCGAAACGCTACTAAGGAGAACGCAGGCGGCTGAGTTATAAATTTTACCTGTCTCTTTTGAGAAGAGCATGCCTGAGTGAACCATTCACCATGAACTCTGTAACTGTTGCTAAGGTTCCTCCAGTTCCATCAGGGACTATACCGTAGAACGCAACGACGTTTGGGTGATGAAGATTCGAGAGTATCTGTGCTTCTCTCCAGAAATCTTTGGTCTGGTGTAAACCAAAAACGATTCAAGAACTCGAACACTAGCAAGAAGATGAAAAGATTTTAGGAACATACCAAGCGATCTTGTTCAGATGATCTCCCTGCAAAGCAGCTCTTCCTTATTCTCTTTATAGCAACATCCGTGCCCCGCCATTTTCCGTGGTAGACAGTTCCGTATGTCCCAGATCCAAGTTCCGTCAGGTCTTCAAGATCAGCGTTCTTTATTATCTGTGAATGTTTAGAAAACGTAAGGTTTCAGTTTCTACAACATGTCACAACAAAGTCATGTGATTACGGATTACTCAATTTGTAAAGTGACAAGCCTGAGTACCTGCAAACCATAAACACTGGCTTCCATTTCAACAATGAGTGTGTCGTTGAAACTATTCTCTTTCTCGTCGACATTGGCTTCAGTACCTTCCTGTCGACAGGTGACAATCATGAGACCGAGACCATCTCTTTAACTCAAAAGTTATAATATTACAAACAAGTAAAAACACTACCTCGGAAAGGAACACAGTATCACTGCTGTTCATCTTTGCGTGTGGACTGGCTTGTGGTGAATCTTGCCTCTCCACAGATGGGTAAGTTTCACTGGCAGGCTTATTCATATCAATGCTTGGGATCCTCACATGGCCTAAACCATCTTCTATTTGTGTTCTCTGCAGATCAGTTATAACTGTTGGAATATCATAAGAGGATAATATAAATTTTGAAACATGATTTTTTTTTTTTGAAAAACTCACCTTCTTTAGTGTTGGATTAAGTTCTAAACCCCCTGTCTCATGAAAATTTTGTCTGTTTGCTGATTCTGAGGAGATGTTGAACAAGAAATCCTCATTAGATCCTTCTCTATTATTCAAAAAGATCCCTGAAACTTCCAAATTCCTCTCCTGGACAGCATGATTCATAGGTTCTTGAAGAAGATCAAAAGATTTCTGAACGACTCCTTTCCCGTTGTTCCCCGTGTGGTACAGAGCGTCTAGTGTTTCCTCATTCGTGGTGTCAGCTGCAATGCCTTCCTCCAAGGAGATCAGGTTCCCGGACACGGTTCCACCTATCAAACGATCGTTATCTTGCTTTATTTGCTTCCATGGGTCAACAACAACCGTTGAGGTCTGGTTTCCATAAGTAGGCAAGTTCTTGCATTCCATATCAGCACCAAGATGAAAAATCGTGTCACTGTTCCTTTCTTGATTCTTGGTTTCTTGGTTTAGATACATCTCATCGTAATGATTCCCCGCGGCTGAAACGTCTCTTTGTAATGTCTTGTCTCCTTCCTCGTTAGACTTCAAATCGAGTATGTTACTCTGCGTACGACGGTCAGTTAGATCGTTGTTCCGATACACCTGCACTGGCTTTTCTTGCGTTTCTTTCTTTGTGAAGTTCAATGGTGAAGATGGGCTCTGTCTCTCCTGCGAGAAGTAGCTAGAATGTCCACCGTTGATCTCCAGTGTAGAGTCTGAGTACGAGTGTGGGATCCCCAAGAACGAATCATTCGAGTTCGTAGAACCGGAAAACGAGACCTTAGATTCTTCCGGTACGCACGGTTTATCGCTGTGGAGCCTTCCGTTATTCGCAGGCCTCTCATGGTGAAAGCAAACCGTGTCAACAAGACTGATGTTGGGAAGAGTCTCAAGGTTCTTGCTGAAGCCACTCTGGAACTGAACCCCGTAAAGGTTCTCTGCCTCTTGCTTGTAAGTCTGACAGTTTGCTGAATGATTGCTCTCGGAGCTCGAGTTGTTTCCATGGAACTGTGAGTATCCACCGTTTGAATCCCTGTGCTGGAATGGTGAAGGAGATAGAGGAGGTGATGGATATGAAGACAAGTTATAGTGAACTCCATTGAAATGCTGATTCGGACGCATCGCAGTCGTATCTAACCGGAGCATCTGACCCGGTAACCGTTTAGAGAAACTCGGGTTGTGATCCAAATGGTTTACATGATAACTTGTATCACTAGCCAAAGTCTGTAGTGTCTTGTTTTCAGGGTCCACAACAATAGGAATCAAGAACAGTCTTGGCCTTTGCGAACCTTCGAGCCTTTCAAGTCCATTGTACTCTTCAATCATATTCTGAAGATCCTCATCAGAAGAAACCGATATCAGAGAGTCAAGCTCATCACCTGGAAGCTGATACTTGATAGAGTGCAAATGTTTGCATATAGCTGAGGTCTTCTTCTTGAGTTCTTCCCACGAGAGGTTCTTGCGTATCGAAACGATATGCGTCTCTCCTCCTACGTATTTCAGCTTCTCATCGGTGGATCTTGGCATGATCCTCCCACCAAAGCTGCAAAGAAACTTCACTTTCCCGAATCTATCGAAATCTCCTCCGGTATAGTTGCTTTGAGGCCTCCCTGTGACACAACCTTGGTTTGAGTTTATCTCACCAAAAGCTTTCCTTGCTACAACTTCTTTCTCACCATGGCATGCGTTGAAACGAGGCATGTAACCACCGTTCTCGACACGTATAGAAGAAGCTCTCGGGTCTCGTCCGAAGTCATATGCGTCTGAAGGACATTCAGATTCTATCCTCCTCAGTTCGTGAAACCGAGCATTACCGTCGTATCCCAGTGGCTGATTCTGATAGTAAAGGTCCCTAAATCTATGCGTATCGTTATGAGTTTTCCCTGAGATGATGGGAGTTTGATCTTTCAGAAACTCCATGGAGAACTCTTCTCCTGTCTGAAGTGAGACGTTCTTGTTCACATCTCTTCTCTCGGCAAAGACAGCTTCTGCGTTTTGCCGAGCCCATGTATCCGACATAGCTGACTTTCTCTCAAACAAGGCTATGAGTTTTCTAGATGAATCTCTGAGCTGCCATTAAAGAAAGAAGCTTTTTTGAACGAGGATGTTCACACCGTAGATGCTACGATATCACAAGAGTCAAAAATCTTGAACTTTAGAGGTATATTTGGACCTGAAACATCGAACGAAAGAAACAACAATTCATCAATGAATCAGTCGTTTAAAACATTTAGAGAAGAAAGAAAATTGAAAATGAGCTAATGAAAAATCAGCATACAAAAACCATATAACTTACATAAAAGATACAACACACTTGCTATGTTCCTTATAAATAAAAACCTGCATCAATTATAGTAGCCAGCACAAAAGCTAAAAGAGCCAGCTCAAAACTTCACGTGTAGGACCTGGAAAGATTCAATAGTATCTTATATAATCATCATAAGTATCACTTGAATCACTCTTTATCCACTTTTTTTTTGTTTTTGCCATGTTTAAACCAAACCTTAAGCAGAATCATGAAACAACCACCAAATTCAAATTAGAATTGCATCCAAAAATCATCTTATCAATTTGAATCATCTGAAAGTTTTCAACCACTAAGAGAAACTCATAGCAATATGGAATCACATAGCTGAGAAAAACAAATCTTAGAAATTAAACTCCGATTTGGGGGATTCCTCAGGTTAACCCAAAAAGATCATCGAAATCGATCGAAATTTCCACAGCTTCCTGTTTCCAGGAGGCAACAACATATACATTTTCTATCCCAGGAACGGAAGAAGGAGATGAAACAAAAACAAAAACAAAAAAACAAAATTCGAACATGCAAAAAACACACGAATTTGTTCAATCTAAAAAGTTCCGCCAATTTTAGCAGTTAGAATTTTAAGAAGCGAGAAAAAAATTACTCAAAAACAGGATCATCAGATTTGAATAAATTTGAATTTACGAAACGATCGGGGCGAAGATAAAATTACCTTCACATTGAACATTCGAACTGAGGAAGACGGAGAGACGAATCTGAGGAGAAAGGAAAAAAAAAACCAAAAGGAGAAGAGAATCGATGAAGAGAGAAGAAAACGGGAAGACGAGGAGGAGGAAGAGAGGATGAGAGAGCGTTGATTACAGTTGCGAGACCGAAGAAGATCGACATTTCCGAGAATTAAGCGCCATCGAACCTTACCGTAACTTACGCTGATTTTAAATTTTCGCATTACAAAAGATTTTTTTTGTTGTTAAATTGAAAACGATGAATCAAACTACGTCGTTTCAATTAGTTTCCTTTATTACATAATCCGGCCCATTTGTTTCGGCCCAGGCTCATTTTAATCTGTTTGTATTTTCGTTTTTGTTTTTGTACCCAATTCACAAGTTTTTCCTCAACAATCCAACAGTAGAGAATTTCATTTACTAGCACATATTTTTTATTCTCTGCTTATATATAAAACTACATTTTCTATAGTTGTTCTTATATTTATATACAAGAGAGAACATTCTCTCACCTTCACAAATACATTCCGTTGCAAATAAAATTTAGTGACAGATTAATTATTCGTTGTTAGCTTGTTGTGTTTTGTAATGATTTTTTTTTTGTTAAACCCTTTAACAAAAAAAAAATGATTTTTTGTTGTTGTATATATAAATCGTATACATGTACATTGGAGATTTGATATAGCCTCAATAGATACGCAGGAAGTGGCTATCTACTTGAGGTATTTGACCAAACCGAGGGAGTCGTGTTAGGTTGTCACTGATCGTATCACCACCAAGTTGCACTTGCAACAACCACACTTTCAATTTGGTTAATTTTGTTATATTAAAACTCAATTGGTTTTGACTTTTTAAAACATAATCTTATTGAAAATATCTGTAAATTTAGCTATAAATAAATGGATTTTACGATATGACCACTTTTATTCATTACTCAACCCAATCGCAACACTTGGGGAACACATTACAATTTACATCATTTTAGAAAAACGTGTATTTTAGTTAAGTGGTCGATTGAGTTGCGTTAATCAATAAAAATTGAATTAAACGGTTTCTTTTTCTTGTAGTGGGTTTGAATGAGGTATGCTACTAGTATTAATTTTGTAAACAGAAATAGCTAGCCATAGATCAAACAGCTTATTGTGCTAGATGTATAGTATTTATCAATCAACACAACAATAACATTTAAGTCTCTCCATTGCTTGACACCTCAACTTTTTTAAGCTTTATAAACATGACACCTCAGCAAAAATAATCATCAATCAAAATATTTTATTAATACATCTCATCTACTTATTTTAATTTTTAAACTTAAATCCATTAAAAATCCCAATATTTTTTCTATTAATTTTTGTTTTATTTTTTACCAAACTGAAGCCCAAATATTTAATAACAGCAAATAAAAGATCATTATTTTATTTTTTACCAAATCCAAACCCAAATAATAGATAAAAACAAATAAAAAATTAAATCATTGTTTTTTTTTTGCCAAAACCAAATAATAAATAACAACAAATAAATAATAAATAAAATTCTAGCTATCTATTTGTTTGACATAGACGTATATTATTGAAAAAGTGTAGACTCAGCATCAACTATGCTTCCATGACAACAACGCAAAAAGCCTTATGTTATAAGAAGCTCACACATCAACAAAAATTGAACCGATAAAAACATAACAATTTCTTAGTTTCGTGGGAAAACATAATTTCACAGGAGATAATACAATTTTTGGTTTTTGCGGGAATTGTAGTTTATTTATTTTTGTAGAAAAGCGTGATTCTGGGCTTGACGAGAAAATGATTTTTTTTTGTTTTGGCAGGAATAGACGATTTCTCAGTTTTCGCAGAAAAAAATAAATTTTTCGATTTTGGAGGGAAAATACAATTTTTTTTTTTGGTTTTTGCAAGAAGATGAAATTTTTTAGTTTTTGTGAAAAAACGTAATTTCTCGGCTTTGGTGAAAAAACACAGGTTCTCGCGGAAAAAATAAAATTTTAGGTTTTAGGTTTGACGAGAAAATGAATTTTTTGGTTTTGACGGGAATAGCCGATTTCTCAGTTTAATGAGAGAATGAAGTTTTTTTGTTTTCATGGAAAATACGATTTCTCGATTTTTGTAATAAGATGAAATTTCTCTGTACTAAATTTTTAAGTTAAAGTATGCTTACAGTAACCAAAATTTAATTATTTAACTTTAACTAAAACGATATTTTAAGAATTCAAACATGATTTTCTATTTAGTTCTAAAGCAATAGCAATGATTTTGATATGAATGTTATTGATTATAGTTTAATAGTTTTAGAAACATATGTTTATAATAAAATATTTGATAAATAAATAAATTTTATAATTCAAAATAATCATATGAATTAATAAATCTTTTTTTTAAACGGCATTTTGTTTTATATAATTACAAAGGAGGATCATGTGGTAATTTATTGGAGAAAATAGATTACATTTGCCATTAGCATAAAAGTACTAAAAACGTATTGCTTTATTCTTATATATTTTATTCTTATATATACATTTATAATTAGTTAGCTAACTAAATTTAATAGCAAATTATAATTTTAAAAATTAAAATAAAAAAAAAATATAATATTTATTCAGATTTAAAACATATAAATACATAACTTAAGCTAATAAAAAATAAATATAATACTTATTTATATTATAAAAATAATTTTATTATATTAGAAAAATATACAAAATTTAGAAAAATATCCCGCAGCATAGCGCAGATAAATACCTAGTGTAAATAAAGATAGATAAAGATGTTTTATTAACGTATATTTTTATGATAATTAATACTATAAATTTTTAAAATATGGTGCTATCAATTCCAACCTATATAATATTTCAAATTCTATTCAATAAAACTCCAGCTCAAACTTTTGATAAAGGACATTATACAAATATGAAAATAATTGTGTATGACTTACTGAATGTTCAGCGGAAGAAATATATAAACAATGGTTTCAATTTTGAAGGAACTAATAAACGAAAAATATTGCAGCTAATCATTCAAATGGATTATCTGATAAAATTAAGCGAAGTAAGGTTCATGTGTCTTGATTAACGGTGACAACCGGCCAGGCATGTGGCTTGTCTTATGTGCCAAAAGTCAATGCCAAAACAAATGTGCTTCGAGCAATGCCCTCCTTAAACTGCCCACTATTTCCTTATAGTACAATTTTTTTCTATGTACCTATATTTTTAATTATTCTCATAAAGTGCATAAATGTCTCTCAAATCGAAATTCCAATTACGTACTTTTCAGGGTCCATGTATGTAATTGTAACCATCGCAGTTTTGCCTTGAAAAAGCTTTCAAAATCTTATTCGAATTCATTTTATCTTTGAGAAAACCCCTCATACGTTAATATGTTTTTCTCTTTTACAGTCGCACAAATAAAATGCCTACAATATATATATATATATATATATATATATATATATATAAAGTCCATGTTATATAATAGTATTATATAACTAAGCTTATAAAATTTTATCCACAATGAGAATGAGATGTCTTTTCCTGATTTGAAGCTACTAATGTGATTCTTAGCTTAGTGATAATAGACGTACGGCATATATGGATGATGCATTGGCTGTATAATAATGGTGTATCTATTAAGAAGTCAAATTGGTTTTATTTATTGATGAAATAAAAGTAAAGTAGATGGAGACGTATATATCACAATTTGTTTCTTTGCGTTTCTGTTTGCACATATATTTTCATGATAATTTAGTCATCGGAACATGAAGACTCAGTGCCTGAACATTTCTGTTTGCACATATATTTAATTTCATGATAATTTAGTCATTACATTGTCTATGTCTTGATCAGAGAGGTTTGGATTACTATTTTGCCGGTCATGTTCCTCGAGCCTTTTTAAAATCGGGCTCAAGCTTCCTAGGAATCAGTTAGTCGAACTAAGTCGTAAACATTAAACATTCCATGAGACTACAAGAATTTCACCTAAATTAAACTATATGTGACAGTACTAAAATTTTCCCCAACTAAATTACCTGTCACTCGAAGAGATTCACCCAAATTTAAGTTTGTATTTACATAAACAAACTGCTTATCATGTTTTTTTTTTAATAACCTCTATTTATTTATACTTTTTCTGCCAAGTGTTTGTTTCTTTCTCGTCAATACATCAATTTAGACATT